ATTAATTTAGTTGTTATGATTTCAAATTAGCAAACACTTTTCTCACTTTTTTTTGTTTTTTGTTAACACTATTGGTTAGGTTTAGTAATAAAATTCGATAAATAAATAATAAAATAAGAAAAAAAAATATTTGACTGATGTTTTATTAATTTAGTTGTTATGATTTCAAATTAGCAAACACTTTTCTCTTTTCTCACTTTTTTTTGTTAACACTATTGGTTAGGTTTAGGGTAGGGTTTAGTGTAGGTGGTTCATTATTTCCAAACAAGATAAAGCATTAACCTTTTAATGCTACTCATTGGACATTTAATTTCACTTGCCATTTCTTACATTGCCTAATGAATACAGACTGTGATAAAATCGAATACGAGGAGAGATGAAGACTGAAAAACAAGATATTTCTGGAGCCTATGAACTGTCACACGGGGTAACTGTGTAACCGTGATCAGAAACTATGGAAGCAAACTAGAATCAGGAACACAGGCAAACAGGAACAGAATAAAAACAAAATGAGACTGTTACAATCCAAATGTATGCCCTTGTTCAGCATGAATCCAAGTATTTACATATTTGCAATATTTAGATACTAAACTAAGTAAAAAAAAACACTAGTGTGCAATTTTTGTTTACTTTATTTACTTCACTTATTATTATTTTTATTATTATTATTTGTATACCACTGCCAGTGATGTCCTGCCACCGTGGTGTGGTTGTAAACAGCCCTAGTTTGGTTTACAGATCTGTTCTAGATTTTGTAAAATAGCTGAAATACAGACATTGCTTATATGGGCTCCTTATATCATTTGGTTCTTTGGTGTCCTTTTGGAGTTTCTAAGTGTCCTTATTTGGAAAGTCATCTAAATTTTACTTGAAAAAATCTTGCAGAAAATACTGATTTTTGAGAATCACCCTTCAATCTTTTGGTTTACTTTGCTGGATATAGCAAATGATGACAAAATAAACATTTGAAACAAGATAAATGGACTATGCTTAATTTCATGAAGTGTGCGATTAATCACAGAAAAATTATGTGATTTATTAGATTAAAAATTTTAATCGATTGACAGCCCTAAAATAAAGTCATCAGAACACAGAGTAGTGGTATAACTGAATTAATTGGTTCGGTAGAATAATTGATTTGTTTCTAAATGAATCAGTGTTTTTGAATAAGTTGTTGAATGATTGCTTTAATAATCACTCATAAAAGATTGCCTGTTTGTTTCCAGTACTTTTAAAGTTTTCTCACCGGTGAATGACACATGATGTAGCCCAGCTGTTCCCAATTCCAGTCCTCGCGACCCCCGCTCTGCATATTTTGCATGTCTCGCTTAGTTAACATCCGATTCAGATAACCAGCTCGTTAAAGTGAGCTATGTGCATGAACTGTGTTCCGATCGATATGATCCCTACACAGTGACTGCAGGGAGGGTGTGACGTTCGCTTTCAGTGCTATCAGGCTAAAGTTAGCATTTTCCAAGATCTCCTACTGCACCTTTAAG